CTTTTCCTCAGTCTCTTTCTTCAGAAAGTTTATTTAGTTTTCCTTGTAGAGATCAATTTCAACATCCTGTTAAGTTTACACCTAAGGTATTTGATTTTTTTTTGAGGGGGCTATTTGTAAATGGAATTGTTTTCATATATTCTTCTCAGTTTTGTTCATTTATTAGTGTAATAGAAATGCTAATGATTTTTTCTATGTTGATTTTATATCCTCTAACCTTGCTATAGCTATTGATGATGTCTAGGAGCTTTGAGTAGAGTTTTTTGGGTTTTAAGGTATAGGATCATCATCTGCAAATAGGATATTTTGACAGTTTCTTTACCTATTTGTATTCCTTTATTCCTTCTTCTTGCCTAATTGCTCTGGCTAGGAATTCCAGTACTATGTTGAATAGGAGTGGAGATAGGGCATCCTTGTCTAGTTTCCTGATTTTAGAGGGAATGAGTTTTCAGTTTTTCACGTTAGTATAATGCTGGCTGTAGGTTTGTCATATATAGCTTTTATAATGTTGAGGTACTTTCTTCTATTCCTAGTTTTCTTAGAGCTTTTATCATGAAATGGTGTTGGATCTTATCAAAAGGCTTTTTCTGCATTATTGAGATGATCAAGTGGTTTTTGTCTTTGCTTCTGTTAATGTGTTATTACGTTTATTGATTTTGTAGTTGAACCACCCTGCATTCCTGGGATGAAGCCTACTTGGTCATGGTGAATGATCTTTTTGATGTGTTTGAATTCGGTTTGCCATTATTTTTTTGAGGATTTTTGCATCATGTTCATTAAGGAGATTGGCCTAATAGTTCTCCTTTTTGGAGGTGTCTTTGCCTGGTTTTGGGATAAGTGTAATACTGGTTCATAAAATGTGTTTGGCAGTTTTCCTTCCTTTCTATTTCGTGGAACAGTTTAAGGAGGTTGGTATAGTTCTTCTTAAAGGTCTGATAGAATTCAGCAGAGAATCCATCAGGTCCTGGACTTTTTCTTTTTGGGGAGACTCTTGATGTGCTGCTTCAATTTCATTTTGTGTAGATGATTAATGTCCTCTTGTTCAGTTTGGATGATCATAAGTATCTAGAAATCTGTCCATTTCTTTAAGATTTTCAAATTTATTTGAATATAGGTTCTCAAAGTAGTCTCTGATGATTTCCTGGACTTCCATGGTGTTTGTTGTTATCTCCCCTTTTGCATTCCTGATTTCTACTAATTTGGGTTTTTTCTCTCCTCATTTTAGTCATTTTGCCAGGGGTCTATTCGATCTTGTTTATTTTTTCAAAGAACCAACTTTTTGTTCATTAATTCTTTGTATGGTTTTTTTGGTTTCTATTTCATTGATTTCAGCTCTTATTTTATTATTTCTCTCCTTCTATTTGTTTTGGATTTGCTTGTTCTTGTTTTTCTAGGAGTTTGAGATGTATCATTAGGTCATTGATTTGGGATCTTTAGTCTTTTTAATATATGCACTCATGGCTAAAAACTTTCCTCTCAGGACTGCCTTTAGCTGTGTCCCATAGGTTCCGGTAGGTTGTTGTTTTCATTTTCATTGACTTCCAGGAACTTTTTAATTTCCCTTTTATTTCATCAATGACCTTGTTCATTAAGCAATGAGTTATTCAGTTTCCAGCTGTTTGCATTTTTTTGTCTTTATTTTTGTTGTTGAGTTCTAGTTTTTGCATTGTGATCAGATAGTATGCATGGTATATTTCTATTTTCTTATATTTGCTGGCTTGCTTTGTCCCTAGGATATGATCTATTTTGGAGAAGGTTCCTGGCTGCTGAGAAGAATGTATATTGTGTAGAAGTTGGATGAAATGTTCTGTAGACATCAACTAGGTCCATTTGTCTATGTGTATTTTAGATCTAGGATTTCTTTATTGATTTTTTGTTTGGATGACCTATCTATTGATGATAATGGGGTGTTAAAGTCTCCCACAACCACTGTGTTGGAGTTAATATATGCTTTTAGTCTTCAGGTATGTTTGATAAATTGGGTGCGTTGACATTGGGTGCACATAGGTTGATAATTGTTATTTCCTTTTGGTTCTATTTCCCCTTTTATTAGTATGGAATGTCCTTCTTTATCTTGTTTGATCAATGTAAGTTTGAAGTCTGCTTTGTCCAAGATAAGTATTGCTACTCCTGCCTGTTTTTGGGGGCCATTGGCTTGGTAAATCTTCTTCCAGCCTTTCATCCTAAGCCTATGCTTAATTTCTGTCAATGAGATGGTCTCCTGTAAGCAACAAATTGTTGGATCTTCCTTTTTAATCCAGTTTTCAAATGGTGCCTTTTTGATGGGGAATTAAGTCCATTAATATTAAGTGTTAGTATTGATAGGTATGTGGTGATTCCTGTTATTTAGTTGGCTTAGTTATTTGAAGGTTTGATTGTGTGTAGCTAAATCGATGTTACTCTCTACTTTCTTGCTTTTTCTTTCCTGTAGTTTGGTGCTGCCTGCCCTTTTCATGGTTGTTGGGTTTCACTTTCTGTGTGCAGAATCCCTTGAATCTTTTTGTAGTGGTGGCTTTGTGGTCAATATTGTTTTTAGTTTCTGCTTATCATGGAAGACTTTTTATTGCTCCATCTATTTTGAATGAAGTTTTGCTGGGTATAGAGTATCCTGGGGTTGAAGTTATTTTCATTCAGTGCCGGAAGATTCCCCCAGCTTCTTCTTGCTGTGATTTTGATGGGTTTACCTTTGTATGTTATTTGTTTTTTCTCTCTTACAGCCTTCAATATTCTTTTCTAGTCTCTGTACTTTTGTTTTAATGATAATGCATGGGGTAGTTCTATTTTGGTCAGGTCTTCTTTTGGTGTTCTGGAGGTCCTGTACCTGTATGGGAATAGTTTCTCTAGATTTGGGAAATTTTCTGTTATTATTTTGTTGAATATATTGCATTCCTCTTGCTTGCACCTCTTCTCCTTCTTCAATGCCCATGATTCTCAGGTTTGGTCTTTTGATGGAGTCAGTGAGTTCTTGCATTTTCTTTTCACAGGTCTTGAGTTGTTTAACTAATAGTTCTTGGTTTTTCCTTTAATTACCATTTTCATTTCAAGTTCTGAGATTCTGTCTTCTGTTTGTTCTTTCTGCTGGATTGGCCTTCCATTTTGTTTTGCATTTCTGTTTCATTCTTTTTTCTGAGGTTTTTCCATATCCTGAGTCCCTTCCTCTTTAATATTGTCTATTTTCGTCCTGAGTTCATTATCTCTTATTTTATCATTGTTTTTGTTTCACTTGGTTATATGTGCTTCTATAGTTTTTTATTTTGTTCTTGGTTGCTTTCTAAATTTCTCTATTTTTGTTGTCTTTGGAATGTCTTGAGCCTCTCTGTATCCATTTTGGTTGGACCATATCCAGTAACCATTTTCTCTAAAAATTTCTTATTGATTACTTGCAGATTTCTTTCTTTCAGACTGTTCTTGTAGGATTCAATAGGGTTCTTTGTGCTTGAGCTTTTCTACATTGACCGCCCCTGTTACCAAAGCTTTCCCCTCTCAAGCAACACTGAGAGATGAGGCACCACACCGCCTTGGTCCAGCCACTTGTTTATTTTACAGTTAGCTTTGAGGGAGTGCCCTCCCAAACCGTATTTAGAGCGTTTACCACCCTTTAGCCGCTTTCCCCTCTGTGAGGTTTGCTGGAGGTCCCACCAAACTCCTGCCTCCCTCTGGCCAGCTTGTTTATTTACAGTTTGCTTTGAGGGAGTGCCCCTCCCCCACTGTCCGGATCTTGAGGGGCACCCTGCCCTGTTTTTGCATGTGTCTTTTTTTTGTTTGGTTTTCAGCTGCTGTTAATTATTCAGTTTCTTTTCTTCTCTTTTTTTCCCCTGGAAGTGGGGTCCAGTTCTGTCCAGGAAGCTTATGCTTGATTTCTATGCCATGGTTTTCTGTTGAGAGAGTTACCACCGTGCCCACTTTAGCTCACCTGGTTTGCTACATCTCCCAAAACAGGTTGGTTGCTCGTGTCTGCGGTGGATGAAGGTGCCCTCCTGGTTTATCCACTTAGCATGGAGTGGGATTATATTCACAGGCTGGGGTGGATGTGTTTCAGAGTTTTTCCTCTTCGGTGGTTGGGTTTTTACCTTGCAAGGTGTAATCTCCAGGCTTCTCTCCAAAATTTACATTTAGGAAGCACCACTTTTCTGCTTCCTCCCTTGTGTTCACCATATTGGAATCGCCTCCCCACCAGGTCACCAAAAACATTTTTTCATATGATACTGTATGCAATGCAGTTACTTCGTAAACCAGATGGCACAACATTGGCATCCATTTCCTTAATATGAAACATTAAACTTCCATTCCTGGAAGTATTGTTGCAGATGCTTTCTTGATTTTTCTCAGGAAGTTATGTC